GTTGTGTGTGTGTGTGTGTGTGTGTGTGTGTGTGTGTGTGTGTGTGTGTGTGTGTGTGTGTGTGTGTGTGTGCACATGTGTGTGTGCACATGTGTGTGCGTGTAAAGCACACTCCCTGTGTCTTCGTCCCTCTGTTTTTTTCCCCTTGCTCGCTGTGTGATCATCTGTGTACACTGAGGAGTGAATCCCCACTGCATGTCTCAATCAGATGTTGTGCGGTGGTGGTTGTTCTTGCCCTGTGGTATGATTACAGCATTGTCCCTGTCCCGCTCTCGCTCCCGATCTCGGTCTCGCATCAAGTCGACAACGCTCACGACTTCTGCACCAGGCACAACGCCAAGCACCTCACACAGAGCACACACGACAGCCAGTACAGCATCCGCCTCGCCCCCGCCACACCCAGCAGCACCGGCACCACCACAGCCGGCGTCAACACCACCACCGACATCATCGTCACACTCGTCCTCATCGTCGCTGCTGTTGTCCTCGCCGGGTCCCAAGCGGAGTAAGTCCGCAATCACAACGCCAAAGGGCAAGTTGCCATCACCTGCAACTGCGCGTCGCGTTGGGCACCGGTCTGTTGTTCGGCGCACGCCACCGCCCACAGCAGCGCCCGCAACACCCACCACAGCAGCGCCTGTCGCCAGTGCAACGGGCAAGTGGGCGGGCCTGCTGTCGCTGACGAAGCGCACGTGCGACACGGACAGCCACGAAGCAACCAGCACACCACCACCACCACCACCACAACAACAACAACAACAACAACAACAACAACAACAACAACAACAACAACAACAACAACAACAACAACAACAACAGCAGCAGCAGCAGCAGCAGCAGCAGCAGCAGCAGCAGCAAGATGAGCGCCCAGCGTCGAGCCAGTGCAGTCCGCTGAGCCCCAGCAGTCGACTGAAGCGAACCATATCGGAGGCACCGTGCACACCAAGAAAAAAAGCGCAGCACACGAGCCAAGAAGTCGCGCAGGAGATGAAGGAGGCGAAACTCATGGCTAACGCCCAAGAAGAAGACGTAAGGTTAGCCACGCACACGGGTGGCAGTAGCCAGGTTGCGGACCAGGGCGACGCGAGTGGAGAACGTATTGGCGACACAGAAGCAACAGAAGCGCAGCAGTCCGTGCAGGGTGTGAAGCGTGTGCTCGCCACGAGTGGTGATGAAGGCAATGTCCACGAAGAAACACCACCAGTCGACGCGTCGGCAATCACGGCAACAGCAGGCAGCGGCACCAACGTGGACGACAATGCGGATGATGACGCGGATGATGATTTGGATGAAGCTGCCATTGCCATGATCATGGATCTCGACAACGATGATTATGGTGGTGGTGGTGGTGATGGTGATGATGATGATGATGATGATGATGATGATGATGGTGGTGGTGGTGGTGGTGGTGATGATGATGGTGTGAGGGATGCGGGCACCGATGCTTGCGTGAACGTCAAAGCTGTGAAGAAGACGCAGAAACGTGAAGATGATGCCAGTGCCTATGCTCGGATGCATGCTGCTGGTGACGACGATGATAATGATGATGATGAGGATGATGATGATGATGAGGATGACATGATCCCAACGCAAGATAGCATGGATGCGCTTCTCTGTCAAGTCGACATGGATGCGGCCATCCAGCAACAACAGCAGCAGAAGGAACAACAGCCACACCAGCACCAGACACACCAGCAACAGCAGCAGCCACCATCTGGCTACCACCTGCAAAGGTGCAAGGTGCTCGGCGTGGAAGGAGATTATCCTCAGAAACAGCTGACTCTGCTTGGAACATCGTCCCACATCAGCGGCCAGCACCTGACGTGCGTGCTGCTGGACGAATGGGCCCGTACCGACGTCAGCCCAGGCGATGTGGTAGAGGTGATTGGCCAATTTGACCGCAGTGGCACATGCTGCGTTTCCACCAAGGCCAACTTCCTCGTCGTCCATCCAGAGGTCCTCGTCGCCACAACCCGCGTCGCCACGAGCTTCCAGTGCCTGCGCAAGGCCGTGCTCAGCGAACACTTTCGCTCCTCAGACGTCACTGTCCCCGCCATGGCGTACGGAACCCTGCTGCATCTCGTGTTCCAGACAGCACTGCAGCGCCACGACTTCTCGCGCGAGTTTTTGCATGCATGCATTCGCGACACCCTGCGCACGGAGATGGAGCTGCTTTATGCTGTCGGCGTCAGCGAGGCCGAGGCCGAACGAGAACTGCACACATACACAGACGCGCTGCAGCTGTGGGCGCAGCGGTTTCTCCGCCGCGACCCAACCGAGCTCGTCAGCCTGGACGCGGTCAACAACCGCGTGCACCAGGACAGGGTGGCCATCAACGACCTGCGGGACATTGAGGAGGCGTGCTGGTCCCCGCGGTTTGGCCTCAAGGCGAGCATTGACGCGACCGTCGGTGTTGCCATCCACAGGCGCCACCCGCGCAAGCGCCACCACCACCACCACACACGCACCATGCACACATACACGCAGCCAACACCACAACAGCGACAGCAGCAGCAACAGGAGGAAAGACAAGGGCCATCACAGTGCGCTGGCTCGCAGTGGTTTGACAACGGCCGCCTCGGCCACATTGAATGCACCGTCTGCAAATCCGCACACCACCACACCGCCGCCAACAACAACGGCAACAACGGCAACAACCGCAATGGCGGCTGCGGCAATCGTCATGATGATAATGATGATGATGATGATGATAATGATGATGTGACGCGGCACGAGATGCTGATGCCGCTTGAGGTGAAGACGGGACGGGCGGTGACAAACGGCTCCTCGGACCACCGCGCACAGGTCATCCTCTATGCGCTGGTCATGAACGAGCTCGGGCACAACACGTCCGCGGGGCTGCTCTACTACATGAAGAGCGGCGAGATGTACGGCGTGCCGCTGCACCGCCCAGAGATTATTGCGCTGCTCGGCGCGCGAAATGCGCTGGCCGGGTACCTGAAGCGCGGTACCGAGTACCCGCCGGTACTCAGAAGCGAGAGCGCGTGCGGCCGCTGCTACCACATCAACTTGTGCACTGCTGTGCACGCGAGCGTGGAGGGCGGCACTGCAGACTCGTTTGGGCTCAAGGACGAGTTCAACGCGCGCACGAGCCACCTCAGCGCAACGGACACGGAGTACATGCGCACGTGGCTGGACCTCATCGCACACGAGGACGCCGTTGCTTCGGATGACGCGAGCCGGCTCTGGAACGTGCCCGCCCACGTGCTGGAGGAGCAGCACCTGTGCTTGCAGCGCCTGATCATGGTGGACATCCTGTCCTCCACCACAGGCACAGAGCGACAGCAACACCAACACCAGCAGGAGCAAGTACATGTGGAGGAGCAAAGGAGAACGGCCAGAGCGCAGGTGCCAGGCAATGGGCCTGCGGCTGCTACGACAGCCGCAAACAAGACGAGCACATCATCGTCGCCATCTTCAGCGCCTCCATCATCCTCGTCGTTTGTGTATGTGTTTGCACGCGTGGATGAGGCCGGGAAGCGCTGTGCAATGCCTGTGAGCCCGTTCCAAGTTGGCGATCATGTCGTGTTGAGCACACAGCGCCCGCGACACGCCGCTGTGCGCACGGGCCGGGTGGCCGGTGTGGACGCCACAGCCATCACCGTCGCCTTTGATCGCCCCGTCCGCCAGATTACGAGCAAGGCCGACCTCCGCACCAAGAACACAACCGCAACCGCCGCAAGTGCAAGTGCGAGTGAGCGTGAACGTGAACGTGCGGCCTCAGCAGCAACACAATCCCTAGCAGATGCCACTGCCACCCAGTCGGCAACATCTGCGGTTGTGTACCGGCTGGACCGCGACCCGTCCGTGTACACGGCGCGCTCGTACAGGGGCCATCTCTTCAGCCTGTTTGGCAGCAACCTTCCCGTCAAGGCGCAGCGGTACCAGCCACCGAGCCAGGCAACACAGCTGGCGACAGATGTGAAGGAGCGACGGCGCGCGCTGCTGGTGGGCCTGACGCCGCCCGCGTTTCGCGATGAGTTGCCCGATTTGGAAACCGCGGTCGTGGACAGGCTGTCCGCGTCGTTTGGGCTGAATGAGATTCAGCGTGAGGCCGTGCTGCGTGTGCTGTGTGCAGACGACTACTGCTTGATCCAGGGCATGCCAGGTACGGGCAAGACCACAACCATCGCCTGCCTTGTCTCTGTGATGGCGGAAATTGGCTTGTCCGTGCTGCTCACGGCGTACACGCACAGCGCCGTTGACAACGTGCTGCTGAAGGTTCACAAGACCCTTCGCGGACAGTTTCTCCGCTTGGGAGGCGTTGACCGCATCCACCCCTCCATTCGTGATCACTCCGCGGCGGCCGTGCGCCAGCGGTGCAGTAGCGTGGCCGAGCTCTCCTCTGCGTATCACTCTGTTTCAGTTGTTGCAACCACCTGTCTCGGCGTCAACCACGCCATTCTCGACCACAGGCAGTTTGACTACTGCATTGTTGACGAGGCTTCGCAAATCACCCAGGTATGTTGTGTGTATGCTCTGTGTGTGTGTGTGTGTGTGTGTGTGTGTGTGTGTGTGTGTGTGTGTGTGTGTGTATAATGTGCGCATATGCGTATGCGTGTGGTTGTTGTGAGTGTTGTGGCACGTTGTCCCTCCATCCGTGATCCGTGTGCAGAACGCTGTCTGCCAGCAGTGTTGGCTCACGATTCCACACCACCACCACCATGACCACCACCACCACCACCACCATGACCACATCACCTCCCCCCCCCCCAACTCCCAATTCCCCGGCGTGCCCAGACGGCGTGCTTGGGCCCCATTGCGCACGCCACCAAGTTTGTGCTGGTTGGCGACCACCTTCAGCTGCCGCCCCTTGTTCGATCGCAACGGGCGCGTGCAGGCGGGATGGACGTGAGCATGTTTAAGCGTTTGAGCAGCGCCAACCCGGCCGCCACCGTCGTGCTCTCCAAGCAGTACCGCATGTGTGCGGAGATTATGCGGCTGTCCAACGCCATCACGTACGAGAACAAGCTGACGTGCGGGGCGGATGTGGTGGCGACGCAGCGCCTCAACATCGACGTCACCCGGCTCTCCCTCCTCAGAGAAGGTGGTAGCAATGGTGGTGATGGTGGTGGTGACGATGGCGGTGATAAAGGGAATGATGATGGTGGTGGTGATGCAGACTTTGGTGACCGTCAGCTTGATGGTGACGATGGGAGTGTGGGTCGTGACACTGGGTCAGCTGCTGCTCAGGAGACCACCACCACCCCCACCACCACCACCACAATTGCCCAATTACCATCAGCATCAGCGCTGCTGTCGTCGCCGCGGTGGCTGGAGCACGCGGTGGACCCATCGCATCCAACCGTCTTCCTCGACACATCACGCCTCCCACAGGCGCGGGAGGAACGCGACGGAAAGGTGCTGCACAACCCGACAGAGGTCACACTCGTTGCCACGCTCTGCCGCGTGCTCGTGCACTCGCTTGGGCTGCCGGCAGAAGATGTGGGCGTGATTGTCCCCTATCGCGCACAGCTGCGCCGGGTGCAGACAGCTGTGCATCACCAGCACGGCCTGCGTGGGGTGGAATGCAACACGGTTGACCGGTACCAGGGGCGAGACAAGGCGTGTATTATCGTGTCGTTTGTTCGCTCTAACCCCGAAGGGCACGTGGGGGAACTGCTGCAGGACGAGCGACGCATCAACGTTGCGCTCACACGCGCAAAGGCAAAACTCATTCTCATTGGCTGCTCCTCCACCCTCATGGTCAGACCTGAGTCTCGTTTGTTTGTTTGTTTGTTTGTTTGTTTGTTTGTTTGTTTGTTTGTTTGTTTGTTTGTTTGTTTGTTTGTTTGTTTGTTTGTTTGTTTGTTTGTTTGTTTGTTTGTTTGTTTGTTTGTTTGTTTGTTTGTTTGTTTGTTTGTTTGTTTGTTTGCAAGTTCATGTGTTCAAGCGTTTCAAGCGTTTCAAGCGTTTCAAGCGTTGAGCTACTCTGCTTGGGTTTACACCCCAACGTACATGCCACCTGCAACTGGTTTGTTGCACTCACAGCCACCGCCCTTCCCTGCACCTCTTTTCCCCCTTATGTTCCTTTCTTCGTGCAGTCAAGTGTGACGCTTGCAGGTGTGATTCGTCTCGCAACAGACGGCAGCTGGATCGTGTCGCTCCCACACGACGCCATCACCCAATCCCACCTCGCACCGTGACCAAACCACATTTGTGTGTGTGTGTGTGTGTGTGTGTGTGTGTGTGTGTGTGTGTGTGTGTGTGTGTGTGTGTGTCTGTGTGTGTGTGTGTGTCTGTGTGTGTTGCTGCGAGGCTCAACACTCCAACATACGCCAATTCAACGCCTGTGCACCCGCTTCACTGCCCACAAAATGTCGCCATTTGTTTAGTTGGCCACGGTGTACTTGACCCGCCAGATATAAGCGAAGTCATAGCTCTCGTCACGTTCACACAGCACATGCAACCAGCACAAGCCACGTAACACCACGCGTCACAACCATCACAAGCCACGCTCACAGCTGCAATGAGTGATCACAAAGCACATCAACCAAGAAAACGGAAGACTAAAGAAAAACGACGACAACAACGCAAACAAAGCAACTCAAACAAAGCAACTCAAACAGAGCAACTCAAACAGAGCAACTCAAACAAAGCAACGCAAACAAGGCAACGCAAACAAAGTAACTCAAACAAAGCAACACAACACACATACACAAATACACAAATACACAAATACACACGCACGCACACACGCACACATACATACAAACAGCCTCCTAGATCAAATCTTGACAAAAAAGTCAATCTTGAAGCAGTAGTAGCAGATGAGGATGAGGATGGAGACGGCACACACGTTCATGAACATGAGCTTGCCGTGCGTCACGCCATCCGTCCATGCCCACGAGAACGGAAAGTACTCCTGGAACGTCTCATGGAACACTGGTGGTGGGCAAGCGCATGTGTGTGTGCGTGCGCGTGCGGGAGCAGGGGGGGGGGGTTGTTGTGGATTGCATTTGAATGAGGGAAGGCGGAGCGTGGCGGTGTCACAACACATCACAAGAATGCCAACTCCTCTTCACACATCCACACATCCACGCATCCACGCGTCCACGCATCCACACAAGCAAACAACACACACACGCACACACGCACACACGCATCCACGCATCAACACACAAGCAAACATACACGCAGCGCATACAACACACACACAACAACAACAAATGCACACAAGCAAACACACAACACCTAATGCACACGGACCGTAGATGAAGATGGAGTTGAGACCGACATATCGGAAGGGGGCGCCGTCCCACACGCGCCAGATGTCAATGAGCCAATAAAACGCCGTGAGGGAGATGAAGCCAAACCCGCTCATGAGAAGCACAAAGCTGAGGCTCCACAGGTTCTTGCTGACGGGGATCACGCCATCATTCTTGCTGCCGCCGCACAGGCCCGTGGCAATGGCGCAGCACAGCACCCCCCACGCCAGCCAGCGGACGCTGCGAGCGCGCGCCGCCTTGTAGTGCACGATGATCTTGCCGGACTGAAGGCCAAGGTAGCAGATGAGGATGGAGGTGAGGGAGCCTAGGATGCCCTCGGGGTCATATGCGCCCGTCTGGTATGTCTCCTGGCTCGTTGGCGATCCGTAGATGTGCTTCCATGACAGCAGCCACCTGTCCACGTGCCCCGCAGCTCCGCCCTCGCAGCAGAAGGTGCCGTTCACACAGGACCCATTCGCCGGTGCAAACTGTCCAAATTCGGCAAGCGCGCCGCCAGGCCCAATGTAGCCTGTCGGGCAGCCTGGCACGGGGAGGAGGAAGGTGATGCACGTGTGAATGACGACGAGGACGATGATGGCAATCCACTCGCCGACGTACGGGGCGACGTCAGGGAGGTGGCGCAGCATGCCGCAGCCGCCGGGATCGAGGTCGCTCGCCGGGTTGCGCACGGTCGGCGTGAGGCGCTGGTGACAAATGGCCGTGACGGTGGTGATTGTAGTGTTGGTGGTGGTGATGGTGATTGTGGTGGCAAGACGAGTGTGAGCAAAGAGGAAAGTAGAGACGTCGCAATGCACACACAGACACAGACACACAGACACAGACACGCACACGCACACGCACACACACATACACACACACAGACTCAGACACACACAGACTCAGACACACACAGACTCAGACACACACACACAGAGACTCAGACATACACACACAGGAAGCGTACCCTGATGAGCGGAGTGACCTCGTCGACGTTGCGGAGGAGAGAGACGGCCTTTGGCACAAATATGATCACCAGCGCAACAACAAGATAGGCGATGGCAAAGCGCTGCAGTACGCCCGGCACACGCGCAAAGCGCAGGTCGTGCACCACGTTGATGAAGATGACGCCAATGCCAAAGAGGAGGAGGGTGCGGCGGGCAACCTTGTACAGGATGGTGCGGAGTGGGGTGTGGCGCTTGAAGAGCGAGTTGAAGGTGATGGCCATGGACGTGCCCATGATCCAGATGAACCACGGAAACACGAGATCCGCCACCGTCAGGCCGTTCCACACGCTGTGATCGAAGAAGTTGTAGTCGCCGCCGCCGTAGTTGACGAAGATCATGATGGTGAGCGCCATGCCACGGAACGAGTCCAGCGACTGCAGGCGCGTCTTGGAGCGCTTCGGGTTACCAATGGCGTGCGTGCTGCTGGCAGCCTGGGCGGCTGCTGCTGCATCCGCGTTGCTGGCAAGTGACAATGGTGATCGCCAAGTGATGGGATGCATGTAGATTGCGTGCGGGTGAGATGGCAACATGTCAGCATGCAACGTCAGCAACGACAGGAGACACGACCCACCGCAAAGTGAAGATGACACGTGATGAAGTGAAGCACACAGTCGCGTGCATACGCACATGTACTCATGTACACGCATATGCACAAACACGTACACACACACATGTACACACATGAACACACACACACGTACACACACATGTACACACGCACACACACACACACATGCACACACACGTACACGCACACATGTGTACGCATGTGCGCATGTACTCGTATACTCACGCACGTGCAACCTGCAGCGGTCTCACCTCAGCAAGGGATCGCGGGTGTATTTCTGCGTGTTGAGCAGGAGCATCTGCTCGTCCTTCTGCTCCATGAGCATGGTGTGCGGATACAGCGCGCGCGCAACGCGGGGGCAGCAGTTCTGGGGCGCGTACCACAGCACAAAGAGGCCCACAATGATGCCGAGGGCAATGAAGACCGGGCGGACATCCGGTCCGTGATCGGCATCGCCCCGAACGTCGCGCACAATCTGCAGATGTGGTTGGGCGCTGTCGGCGCTGTCGCCTGCAGCTGTTGACGACACGATGAGAGTGTAGAAGCCGCGCTCGCCAAAGTGGTATGTCTGGTTGTTGTAGCCGACGCACGCGCAGGTGTTGTTCACGGTTGGCGTGCAGCCGGGTGTGGGGGTGCAGTTGGCCACACTCAGCTGCAAGGCGCAGCACGATTCATCGAAGGGAAGGCATCATGTGCATACGTGCGTGTGTGTGTGTGTGTGTGTGTGTGCGTGCGTGCGTGCATATGTGTGTGTGTGTGCGTGCGTGCATTTGTGTGTGTGTGCGTGTACGTGTGAAGGAGAGGGATGTGAGATGGAGATGGAATCCATGACTGCGCCGTGCACAGTGTGGGCATGGGAAAGGCAGATGGTGGCGAGCAGTGCAAAGGATCGATACAACGACAGAGTGGTCTGCTAACATGCCGCGTACGCTCACAGAGATATCACACTCCATAATGATGCACACCTCCTGTGGAAAGTTGGTTTGGACCGTCAGATACGGGGTGGCGGACATGAAGGGCCCAGCCTCGGCGAGCACAGTGTCGATGCAGCGGTGGCAGTTGGTGTTGCGTGTGAGCACGCGCAAGGGCGGGGCCTGCTCCTCATCGGTTTTTGACAGCGAGAGGACGCGGACATAGGCGTAGTTGAGCAGGTGTTTGTCGTAGGAAGGCTCCGTGGAGATGAAGTCTGCATCCGATGGCATGTCGTACCACAGCGTGAACCGGGACACGCCTTTTGCAGCCAGGTCCTCTGTGCGGTTGAAGAGGAGGTGGGATCTGTCTTTTGTGTCGACCGCCTGCACAAAGAAAGCGCCCTGGAACAGGGCTGGGTCTGTGGCATAGTTGGAGCAGCCTTGCGCCAGGATCCCTGAAAACAACTGTTCGTGTTGTGTGTGTGTGTGTATGTGTGTGTGTGTGTGTGTGTGTGTGTGTGTGTGTGTGTGTGTGTGTGTGTGTGTGTACAAGTGAGTGAGTGAGTGAGCGTGTGCGTAAGTACGTCAAGTGACTTTGTGTCACGAGAACATTTGTGATGTGATCTCAGACATGAATCGCACCATGTATGTGACATGTCACGTACACATGCATCTTTGCTGATGAAGGGCATCCAGCACACACACACACACACACACACATGCAGATTAGGTGCATGTCTCACCTTGAACTGGTGGCCGCTCTGGATGGAGATCAGGGTGACGTCAACCGTCAAAGTGGTGGTGTGGTTCTTGACACCACCGTTCAAGAAGCACATGCGAAAGATGAGGTTGGATTGACTGGTTGCTGGTGGTTGTTGCACAGCATTGGCGCCATCACCAGCAACAACCGCCACACCACCGCACAGCGCTACGCTGAATGCAGCGAGCAGCAACAAGGCCGCTGCACTCTGCATCGGGCTTGTGTGCGTGTGTGTGCGTGTGTGTGTGTGTGTGTGTGTGTGTGTGTGTGTGTGTGTGTGTGTGTGTGTGTGTGTGTGTGTGTGTGTGTGTGTGTGTGTTTGTTGTTCCGTGTGCCCGCCACCACACACTCTTTCTTTCTTTTGATATTGGGTGCGACTGAATTCAGGGCTTGGAGCGATGTCGTGAGTATTTGCCATGATTTCTATCAATTTGCCGTTTGAAAGCTTAATCGTGCATCGCACCTTTCAGAGGGGCAAAACGGCAAAACATCGGCGCGAGCGCAGAGCGAATGCTTGCAAGCAACCAGGGCCGTGCCTTTGCGACGCGCTCCACCTGCACGAGCACACAGAGACCCGCACCATAACGAAAAACTGGCTTGTTGGTGGCCTTCCTTTCTTTCTTCTGCGAAGCCACTGCTGCGCAAAACAACATCGCACAACAGCACCACTCGCTCTTGCTCTCTTGCTTGTTGCTTGTTGTGTTGTTTGTGAGAACAACTTCGATTTGACCCATCCGCCAAACAGCCAGCCTTTCCCCGCTCCCTCATTTCTCTTCTTCTTTGCGGGTTGGTCGTGCAGCGCACGAGAGGTGAGGGTGACGACACTCGCGCTCGCTCGCCCACACACTCGCTCATCGTCATCAGTCACAACACAGCACTGCGTGCTGTCTCCTCTTGTTGTTCTCCTGCTTGCAGGCCCACTTTTTCTCTTTCTTTCTCTGGCGCTTTCTCTCAACCCCGACACTCGCGTTTGTTCTCGGTCTGGTCTTGCGCCTTGCGGCTGCTCTTCCGCTTGTTTTGGTTTCTCCAGTAGTCGCGCGAGCGCGCGTGCGAGAGTTTGACTTTGCCTTTGACTTTGCGTTTGCCTTTGGCTCTGGCCTGTTTATTGTGCTGTTTGTGTGCTGTTGGGGGGTAGCTGGCACTACCAGCCGTCTGTGTTGTCCCTGACAAAGCACCGAGACCTGGGGTCTCACCACGCACGCACGTTCACATCCAACGCAACACGCACGCGCACGAGCGACGCCAGCATTTGTTCTGCGACATTGCTCTTGGCACAACACACACACACACACGAAGTTCCCAAACGACACCGACCGACCGGTGCTACAAAAGTGTTTGGTTTGTGGCTGTGCCACCGCCAACACCAACAACAATAACGACAGCAGCAGCAGCAGCAGCAGCAGCAGCAGCACTTTGTGGACGTGTGGCGTCATATTTCTTACCCTCTTTCTCCCAAACACCGATCGTCGTCACTGCTCCTGCCTCGCCCATCGATCTCACAACCGACAACCAAGCAAGGTGTGTGTTTGTGTGTTTGTGTGGTTGTGTGGTTGTGTGGTTGTGCGCTTGTGGTTGGTGTGTCACGTCAGCCCACACGAGCAGCACCGCGGCGCATTTCCACCTTCTACACTCGTCAATGCGTTCACCGATTGCCTTCTTTCCGCCTGCCTGTCCGAACATCGCATCCCCATACCGAAAACACATACAAGGCAGTGCCTTCTGTGCTCACTGTGACACAACACCCCCCCCCCCTTTGTGCTGGCTGCGTTCCATTGACCACAGCGACGTGCTCCGGAACGCGAAGCGAAGCGTACCTTGCTTCTTGCCTCGTCGTTCACTTCACTGTGTGAAGGGCAATGCTGCTCGACCACACGAAGCAAACAAGGCCAAGAAAGGTACATGCGAACCCCATCATGGTGTGTTGTGTGTGTGTGTTTATCTCTCGGCCTATCTCTCAGTCAGTCAGGCTGTCTGTCTGTCTGTCTGTCTGTCTGTCTGTCTCTCTGTCAATGACGATAGTTTCGCTGTTGCGGCCTGCGACCAGTCCATCTGCTGGTGCCTTCCTAGTTACACCTGCTCACCCAGTTGCCACCACCCCTCTCCCCCTGCATCTCTTTTGTTCCCCATCCCCTCTCCTCCACATCTTTCTCCACATCTCCCCACACTGCAATCTCAGAACGTTGTCGAGGCCAAGATGGACCTGTCACCGCCTGCGACAACCGCGGTGCCGCGGCACACGCGCGTCGACGAACCACCTCACCCAATGGTCTCGGTCGCCGAGGGCCAGGCCCTAGTGAAGGGCCGCCACAACACGCCCAGGCGACACTCCAGCCTCCGCTCCTCGTCCTCGTCCCCAGCAAATGCACAACACACGCAGCAGCAGCAGCAGCAGCAGCAGCAGCAGCCACAACAACCGAACCGCGTGCGCGCTCTGTCAACGTCAACAACCCACCACCAGCACCACCAGCACCATCATCGCTTGTCGCCGAGCTGGTCCCCGACCCCCGCATCCACATCACCAGCGCGCGAAGGCATCCTCTCCAACTCTCTCCACGGCAGCCTGCGTCGGCGAAGCTCCCGGCGAAGGGACGACCCACAGCGGCGCAGGTCTGTGCACTTTGCCACAAGCGCGTCCACCAGCCCCTCCAGGAGCCCAGTGTGCTCCCCAAACACCTCCACCCTCAACCTCTTCTCAAGCACCACAGCCCCAGGTGCACGGCCAGGCGCGCCCTCCCCCAAGTTCTCCTCATCCCCCACCATGCTGGCATCGCTCACCCCGCCAGCGACGCCGCCCACCACCATCACGTCGAGCCTGCTGCGATACGAGGCAACATACAACACGGAGGAGGAACCAACCAACATCATCTACGACAGCGTCGCGGGCAAGAAGCCCAGGCACAAGACAGACCCCGCTGTGCTTGCAGGCACGCCACAGAAGCTGCGTGCTACCCCGCACAGTCACACCCACAACCACGACCGTGTACGCCACGCTGTCCGCAACTGCCACGTTCGAAGCAGCAGCGACTGCGGTGTGCACGACACCGCCAATCACGGCCATCGCCTGTCCGACGGTCGTGTGCACGACACAGCACCATGTACACATTCGCGCTCACTGGACGATACAATTGACACAGAGTATGTCGTTGCCGGTGCTGCTGGTTGTGACCAGATTGGTGTAGCGGATCAGGAACTGCTCAAACAGCAACAACGACACCACCAACATGCCAGGCAGCTGCTCCTTGAGGACCAGCTGCACGACGTCTCCATTGTTGATGGCGATGAGGCGGCTCGTCATGAGGAGAACGCTTGCCGCTGGCAAGAGGGCGGCGCCAGTGTCGATCACTGCCGTGATGACTACACCGGCCAAAACACCACCTCCAACGACGACGACGACGATCACGGGTACTGGCGTACGAGTTTGCTGGCGGATGATTCCCTCTTGACGCCTCAGCCACACCACAGCCACCAGCAGCTGCTGCATGGAAGGAAGAGCGGGTCCGGTCGACGACGCTCCCTCTCTGAGGGCGGAGGTGGTCCCACCACCACCACCAACGCTGACAACAACAACAACAACAACAACAACAACAACAACAACAACAACAACAACAACGCTATTACCAAAAGCAGCAGCAGCAGCAGCAGCAGAAGCAGTCGGCGCGCCAGCGTAAATGGCGGCCATCGCCACCACACTGCAACGTATGCCGCACCCCCACCACCACCGCCTCCAGCGCCGGTGCCGCACATGGACGAGGACTTCCGTGTCTTCCGCCACCAGATTCGGACCATCCAACGGCGCTTCCGCCTCAACGAGCTGCCATACTACCATGGATGGAGGCGCAGGGCGTGGGTGTCTCTGCAGCTGCTGCGGCCTGGCGTTGGCGACGGCACGTTCCTCATCCACTTTGATATTGTCAACAACCAGCTCATGTTGCTGCTGTCGCTGTGCACGCCATCGTATGGCGTGGCACACGTGCCCATTGAGCTCGTGCAAGACCAGACGGTCATTGTTGAGGAGCAAAACTTTGACTCCATCACCGACGCCATTGCCAACTTCCGGCAGCACCCGCTCACCACCGCCAGCCCGGCATCAAACTCCGAGCAGCAGGTCTCCTCGCCCCCACTGTCGCCAACGGCTGTCGTCGCATCACTGCCGTCGCACGGCACGGCCCGCAACCCTCACCAACAGCAGCAGCAGAAGCAGCAGGGCGGGGCGTTCCTGAAAGGGTTTCTCCCGCGTGATGTTGAGGTTCGCACGATTCGGCGTAGCGCCTCGTACACCGCCCCTGCGTCGCACGCGTCCCCCGCGTCATCTAGTGCCTACGTGGCACCAGAGGAAGAGTACGATGACGTGGAACTGCAGCACCAGCACGAAGAGGAGGAAGAAGAAGAGCAGGAGCCGGAGGAGGATGAGGGTGATGATGTTGACGACACGTTTCACAGCGGTCGTGGCGTGCGGCGCACAGGGAGTGTGAGCAGCGCTCACAGCCGCGCAAGCGACTGTGTCAGTGCCGACAGCGGGCTTGGCAGC